AGAACTAGACTACTTGACTTTACTTTACTCATGTGTGTTATCAAATGCAGGACAACAAATACACACCACGTCGCTGAGGCAGAAAAAGATCCTTAACAAACCAAAAACAAACACCTACGCTGTGCACAGCAGCTTTAACCGATTGTAGCCATATGCTAACGTGCTGCTATGACAGTGACGCCATCCTGTCCTAGTTCCTGCTTTAACAACAAACATCTGTAAACATTTCCTTCCATAGAATATGACAGACCACTTCTAACGGATAATATGATAAATGTACAACAACATTCCAGATCAGTCAGCACCACTTCCATCAACTATATCTATCATGGTACGAGTAGTGATGTCCTTTTCAGCACAGATGGCTCATGTGTCCGAGGTTTCAGCGTGCTAAAGGCATGGCTCAGTGCTGGACAGGGAAATGTTGGTCAGGAAAGAAAAGCAGGATTAAAGGTGGGATTATAGTTTTTGACTTGCGGGATAAAGCTTGGAGAGATCTCATCAGACTTCGGACTCGGTGACAGTGAACCTTTAGCACACGGAGCCGTTGGGATCTCCCTCTCCGGGGGTGTAGAAATCAGGGATGGGGAGTCCAGTATGTAGTGTAACCTGCAGAGAAATCAAACACAAAATTCTCATTCACAGTTATATCAAATAAATCCAGTGATCTTTAGTGTATCACAGACTGGAGGTCTAACCACTGTGGTGTCCAGGTATATCAAATAAATCAATGCACTTGTTTTTCCCTGAGGGGTTAAAGCATTGCCCTCTCCAGCAGATGGCTCCCTAGGCAACTGCCCATGTGGCCTATGCTGCAATTATTGTGGTTTCAACTGTTACTTCAGCGCCACCCACTGCCCAGGAAGGGCAACACAACACTGTAACAACAGAGCATTGCCCTCTCCAGCAGATGGCTCCCAAGGCAACTGCCCATGTGGCCTATGCTTCAATTATTGTGGGGCCTTAGAACCTATACATGGGAGCAGGTGTTGCTTCTACAGAGCCAAATGTACCAACTGCTAGTCAACACAAGTGACTTTTCACACATCGGCCTGCAGGTGTAGCTGTTGAACCGTTTGATTTTGGAGACAGTTCGTTTCCACAGCTAGAAGAAAACTGAGTTTTCAGTCACGATGGTAAGGCTATAGTAAGGCATGTTTTGGGTTATTTTTGAAATATTCATATAAAATACTTTTTGGAGTTTGTAAAAGTTGTAAAAACAGTTTTAATAAATAATATCCTCACTTGCATTTCTTTTGTTGTTAAATGTATAAAAAAACTCTTGTAATGTTCACACATCACACAGTGACACAAAGAAGAAGAAAGAAAAAGAAAAAAATGATGACAGAAGGTTGATCAGCTTCTGTACGTGGTTTCTGGAAGATTGTACTGAAGTGAAGCTAAATTTGGTTTGAAATGCTACAGGCAAAATGTTAATTAAAATGCTAAATACTGCAGCATGACTATGCAGAAAACTTTAATTTTTTTTTACTTCTAAGAAAACTGTCTGGCCAAGAAGCATATGGTTTAATGCAGTGGTTCGCAACCTTTTTGGGCCCATTTTGACGTCACACAATTCTGGCGAACCAGGGACAAGCTTTGTTTTGACTAGTCTAGTCACGTGATCACATACCTCAATCAAGATGCACCAGCTGAGATTTTTTTTAAAAATTATTAGGCATTTCAGGCGACCCCATTTTATTTCCAGGCGACCCCATGTGGGGTTGCAACCCCAAGGTTGAAAAACACTGGTTTAATATAACGGTGAACAAATGTATTATATTTTTGCGGCACCGTTCTCTACTATCTTCTCTTGAACACTATGTCATGTTGATGACATTACTGCACTGACTTTGTAAGTGAATGTATCCACAACATTGTCACCATACTGTATACCATAGTCTTCACCTTCAAACTCCATATTGTTGAATACACAGATTTGTTTAGTGTATCTACTGGTGCTCTGATGCTTCAACTTCTAATCTGCTGACCAGTGTTCTGGTCGGAAGGTTCTATAAACATCTGCTGTCTGAGAAGGTCCGTCTGTACCTGGACATTTCTGTTGAGGCTGATCGCAGGGTAATAACTTCCTTCCAACCCTTCGAAGGCCACTGGACCCTGCTGCTCATCATTGATGAGGAAGATGAGGATCCTGCGTGTGAAGTCCAGCAGAACTCCTATGGTGGCCCCCTTACTGACGCCACCGTCCGTCCTGCAACGTCACAACGACAGAAGATGACCACAGGAGTACATGTACATCTCAGGAGAGTTACCTACTGCACAGGGCAGTGGGTCAGTCAGCTGATGAGCTGGCTGACATTATTCAGTATCAATAATTCCATCCTTTGGATTAGTCACAAGTGAAAACAGGTGGGAAACACATACCTGTATCTGATGTGATTTGGCTTTCTGTTCCAGCAATACACAGAAAAAAATGTGGTTTATCTTGACTAATCTGATTGATTATGATTAGGATTAATCATAATGTTTTTGCGCCTAAACTCCCAAAAACAAGATAGCTGTGGGTCCTTTTTTATTTTTTTTAAAAGCCTATTTCATCAGGCGATATAAAATATGCTGCAACACTGACTCATACTCAGTAGACACACTCAGCTGCAGACAGTAATGACCAGTACACATCCACACGTCTGGATCTGTTTCACCTATTTCTCAGGCTTCTGAAGGCGTTCTAGTCGCTGGACTTTCAGCTGCATCACTTCATTAGAAAACCAGATCATTGTGCCCCCGTACCTGTTGGTGTGGGAGTTGTTGTGCATGAACCAGGACCTGTTGTTGTCCACATACATGGCCCAGGCCTTGTCATCCTTCCCCAGCATCACATCCTTCAGGACGTCCCCTCTCGCGATCCCAAACGCCGGGTCTGGGTGGTTGTCGTAGCGGTCGACGGTCATCTCCCAGTAGTGGACTCCACGGGAGAAGGCGGAGTTACACATGACAACTCTGTCGTCGTAGCTGCTGCACGTCACCGTCAGGTTGTCGTTGGAGAAGATGATGTCCGGGTGAGCGGAGGCGGGGTCGAAGGTGAACCAGGCAACTGTGCAGGGCAGGGTTTGACATGCTCATATGTTTGACATCAGCAGCGTCAACGGCCACAACAACAGCCACACGTACAGACACACGTACAGACACAACAACAGCCACACGTACAGACACAGTGTTGTGTTGACTTAACAATGATGACATGGTTCTAGAAGTCAGATGACGTGAGGTGAGGCTGTAAAAAGTTCTAAATGGATCAACATTAATATAACTCTTATAATAATATTAAATATTCCTTATGTTATCAACTTTAATAATAAAGCTAACCACATCAGAGTTGTGTCATATAGACTGATATTAATTGATGCTGTTGTTTTTACCTGCTTGGAACATCAGGTCTGAATGGGACCAAGAAAATAATGAATGGTTTTTAAAAGGATGCTAATGTGTGCTAATGCTAGTAGAAGTCAGTGAATACAGTGAAATTGGGCCACATGCCACTGAAATGAACATTCCACCACGAGGGCTCATAGTATTTGTATAAAATTGAATAAGATTCAGTATCATTTTAGAGAAATGTTAATAGTGAAAAGTAGGTCAAAGGAGGCAAAACATGAATCAGTCGGAACTATGGGCAGACAAAATATGGTGGAAATTAGCTAGAAGTGGCTAAATATATGTATATATATAAAAATATATCATGGTCAATTAATAACAGCCTGGATTAATATGATTAAAGGTGAGTCAATCAGAGTATTTACTAGACTTATTACAGAAATAGCAAAAAATGCACCAAGAGGCAAACACAAGTTGAGCTAAAAGTTAGCCAAACATACAGATAAACATTAGCTGGAAGGTAAATTTAAAATGGCTAGAGGGTATCTTCAAAAAAGCCAAAAATAAACTAAAAGTTATCCAAACAGAAATAACAGTAGTTGTTAAAACTAAACTGCACAATAAACCTCCAGCTCCCTGATGCACAAAAAGCTAACAACAGGAGTTTAATAATAACAAATAAATAATTAGTTCATCATTTATGTGTAATATTTAGAGTTCATCTTCTTTTTCTCTTTCTTTTAATAATTATGAAAAGCTGTTTCATTGAAAATCACTGCGATGTAAACGCTGCCCCAACTGGTGGATTATTTGAGTTTATCTTTAATTCACAAATCAAACCGGAGACATCTGTAGATTTAAAACCATAAGTGAATTTGCAAATATCCATTTTTTTTAGGATTTTCCTTCCAAGCAGATTGAATTAAACAGCATCACTACTGCAGTCTGTTTGACTCCTGGCTGAAAATACTCTACATTTATAGAGTCCATACAGACATAGTGTGGGCGTTAGACAGGTGGGTGTTTGCACTTTCCATGGGCTCCACAGGAGCAGCGTCGGCTGATGTCGCTGCATCTGCACTAAAGTTTTATTATTAACATACCTCCATTTGTCCTGGAGGAAATAAAAACATGTGGTGTGTGTTTTTTTAGAATCCTGCATTGAACATTTAATAAGTGCAGCCCACGGTGCAGCAAACGGCCCACCTGCTGGTCTGATAGTGAAACCGCACTGATGAAACAGGCAGGGGGGGGAGGGGGCGGAGGTTAAAACAGAAGAGACAGTCAGCCACGACGAGCACCGTCCATACCTGAGGCTATAGACTGTATATCACATGGAGGGAGTCCAGCTGAAAGGTGACATGAAGAAAAAAGGAGGAAGAGGAGCAAAAGCATTGAAGCCAACAGTGTAGGAGTGGGAGTGGGGGGTGGGGGGGGCAGAGAGGGTAAAAAAAAGCAGGTTTGGTTTACTTAAGATGGAGAAAATACCAGCAAAAAAACAAAAACAAAATATAAGATGGAGAAAATACCAGCAAAAAAAACAAAATAAAATAAAATCAAGAAGCTAAAGCAGCGGCTACTTTAAGGCTAACTGTGGTCCAGACATTGTCCAGTGTCCAGTCAAGGTCTTTACACACAGAAATCATCCATTTGACCTGATTATAATTGACCCTAATGACGGACAATGGACTCAAACAGTAGTAGTGTCCTGTACATGTAGTTCACTATTATGAAAAAGAAACCAGAGAAGAGTTCTAGTGCAGTGGTTCTCAATGCAGGAGAATCTAATGTTTTGGCTAACTCCCCTGCTAACATACTGGAGCTAGCTAAAATGGCGGGCTATGAAAACAACATTAACGTCAGCCCCGCTGAACGACGCAGCATATTTGCACAGCTCCATCATCTAAATTAAGTACAAGTTGTGGTTCTGTGTCCCTGAACAGAGTGGGTTTGGCTGATAAATAATCTAATAATCTAATCTAATCTCTTCTTCGTTTGAAGTCAGTGACACACAATGAGCTTCCTCTGTGTATTTAGGCAGAAAACCCATTCAACTGATGAGAGAGCAGGATTATACCACCAAAAACCCACGGGTACTGCAGGTACCTGCTATAAAACAAATACTGTACTCTGATTCTACTTCCTGCTGCCGCTCCTGGATTAAAACCTGGTAATTACCATTAGAAGGACGTCACTAGATTAAGTCGGAAGCTAACTTAACTTAACAACTTAACTTAACAACTTAACATATCTTAACTTAACTGAACAAAACATAACTTAGCTTAGCTTAGCTTAGCTTAACAACTTAACGTAACTTAACAACTTAACTTGACTTAACTGAACATAACTTAGCCCCGCACACTTCAATAATGGCCGATGTTTCTGATGAAAGTCTAATAAACCAGTAAATAAAATTACAGTTCATGAAAGTCTAATAAACCAGTAAATAACAGGAGGACAGATGAGGAGGGAGATGTTTTGAACGTACTTTCAGACGTCTGCATGATCAGCGTCTTGCTGTACTGGCCCACACCGCTTGAATTGAAGGCCTTGACTCTGGACTTGTAGGTGCTGTTGAAATGAAGCCCGTCCACAGTGCAGATGGTCTCCGTCCCCACGTACACTTCCTGTGAAGACAGTGTGCTTCCTGTCAAACCGACTGACACCACAGTGCACTCAGTCATGACACCAAATGTTCACATGGTCCTGCTTTTGTAATCTGGGAGTGAACTGAGGGGATGTTGCTGGAGGGGAACGTCACAAATGGGAATGTGAGTTAGTGGAAGTGGATGTGGGCGAGGTAGGCAGCCCACACCGGAACACATAAATAGACACGAGGACGCAACTGAAGCCAAGCACAGATTGGTGAAGCGTTGGCGAATCTCAGTGAATCAGAGTGAAGAGGAGTTAGAGAAAACTTCCCTCCAAATTTGACAAAATCGATCTTTGGCAAAGGACAGCGTTAGCTGCCGCCGCAGGTGAGTGAGTCAGTGAAAATCTGAGGATTGTAGCGTCAAAAACAAAGGTTGAATTTCTGACAAACAAGAAAGCCCAGCATCAGTAATGTGCTACAACTGTGGCCAAATGTCCCAGTTTGGCACCAACAGCCTAACAATTAGCAGGGAGCGGATACAGTCTCTGGATCTGTTGGCAGACCAGGATGGAAATGATCACCATCTCTCTTTATGGCACAGTTGTAATTAGGAGCAGGAGATAAAGGCTGAGACATCTGAGAGGGTGAGGCTGAGATGACAGTCAGCTGCTTCATCCAGCAGCATTCTGACGGAAGGCCGCTGCCTGACTCTCCTATTTTAAATCACAGAATTCCTCCTGGAACAGCTGCTGGTCCTTTAAACAGAAAGGGTGGGGCTGATGGCCCTCAGTCAGCCGGAGCAACTGTCCCCGGTTTGGACTTTTCACCAATCACACCAGTCCACCGAGGTCAACTGTCCAACTGACTGTATTACGACCAAGGAAAAATGTCCCAGAAAGATGTGACCTTTTAATAGTATCTGGGCCAACTTGTAGCTATTTGCTAACATTAAGCTTTTTCATAAAAATACTGTCTTTTTCTTTAGGCTTAAATGTGATCGTAGCAAATTCTGGGCTACATTTTTGTAATTTTCTCTCCTTGTTTTTAGCTTTTCCGAAGCTAACTCTTAATACCACTCTTTGCTATTGCTTAGTTTTTAATCTGGGCCACAATTGAGCAAAAATCATGCCCTTCCTAAGCTAGTTTAAAGATATCGTTTTTGTCGTGTTAACCTTTTATAAGTTTAACTTGTTCCGCTGCTTTACCAAAACGGACCAAACTCTTAGCAGACTTTCCAGTCTTTGGTTCATGTTTATCATTTGGCTAGCTGTTAGCTGTTAGCTAAGTTTCCAACACTTCAGACTGTTATGAGACTCGGCAGTGCGACTGTACTCTTTGTAGGAAGTTGTGGATTCAGAGGTCAGACACAGATACTCTCTACTATTGTGCTGAGAGAATTGCTCTGCAGGTATAAGTTGTCATCACAACAAAAGCAGGGGGCTCAGTGTATTGAGCGGCAGGGAGGGTCGGGCGAGGATGGATTACACGGTGGGTGGGTGAGGGTACGAACACCCGCTTTGATCCCAGATCACACTTCCTGCGGGATCACTCGACCAGCAGCTGCCCCACAGACGGAGCGGTATACATTGTCTTTCTACAGTTGTGTCCAGTCACATGACCTGCTCTGGAGCTGTCACAACGAGTTGAGGGAGTTCAGCGACAAAGCGCTGCTTTCACATTCCCCGAGTTGAGCTGGTGTCCTCCCTGGTACCACATGAACCAGTCTGTTCAGGAGCTGAAGGAGCTGACTGTTCAGAGGTGAATTATGGCCCACTGTTTGACTTGTAATTGTAATTCAACCCAAGAACAGAGTCCCAGTAGAAGGAAACCGTTGACGTATTATGCAGTGGAAACACAGATTCTTGCACAGGAATCGACACCTGCAGAGGGGACCTACCCTGAACGGCCCTCCGTTTCCATCATCCAGCTCCAGAATGTATCCGTCCACGCCAATGGTGGAGAGAGGTGGCTGTTTCCATGACAATGTGGCACTGTTGTTCTGAGTGCAGCATTCCTCGAGCTGGAGCATCGGAGCAGCTGGGACTGCAGGAGGAGAAGGAGGTGGAAGTGGGGGAAACCAGGCCAGATTACATACATACACACACACCAGAACATGGACTCACACCAGTTTGTGTTTGCACAGCTATTTTTATTCAGGCACTGCAGTGGCTTCCCTTCATTCTCCTTCTAACCATATGTTCACGTCTCAGAGACAGCGAGAGTCGAACCGAACTGAAACTAACAACACCAGGCTAACAACAACCAGGCTAACTCTGGAATTTCGCACCCGGACGAGGGTTCCTGAGGTTCCAGAAGTCCAAAATATTCCTAAGGAGAACCCTAACTGGTGGCACTGGACCAGTGGGAGTTCACAGAATCCAACTTAAACATGTAACTTTTGAAATTTGGTATGTGTATATACTATATATATACTGTATATATATATATATATAGTAAATATGCGTGAATAAATATGTTCAAAGTCAGAAATGTGGATTATCTGCAGTGTACTTTATCCATACTGTATGTAATGGTGTAAAATACACCAGTGTGTATTACTGTTATGATGACACACAACATTGTAAGCATCACCTGTGTAGAGTGAGTACGGGCTGTGTGACTGTACTGTGAGTGCAGGGATCCTGTGCAGTGTAGTCAAAGCAAATAAATGTGTCATTAAAAGTGTCTTTCACTTCACTCACAGGGATAGAGAATTATTTTTAGAGACACTGAAGTTAGAGAAATTAAATTTAGAACAAGAAGAAGGTCAAATTCCAAAAGGGATTTTCTTCAAAATGACTGTAAAACCAAGACTGTGCTTCACAGAGTAATCCAAGGAAACTCCAGATTAGATTATAGGTCCTATGACGAATACAGACAATAATGATTAAAACATCTTTTTTAAAGTATGTCATTGGTAAACCATGATTTATCTTCAATTCCCATACTCTGAAGCCCGCCCCTCCCCTCTCTCCTACCCTTCCTTCCTTCCTTTTTTCTTTCCACCCTTCCTTCATTCCTCCCTCTCTCCTCCCCTCTCTCCCCCCTCTCTCCTCCCATCTCCTCCTCACCCTGGTGTCCTGTTTTCTGTCATTTCATTTTTTTTATCTTTACCTTTCATCTGGACAAAGTCCAGCTGGTGGATGGTCTGCAGGAGAGGCCCGCTGTCCAGGGTCAGGTCAAAGTCGCTGGTCATCCTGGGGGTCAGCGTTCCCTTTCCCCACTGACCCTCCGTCATGTGAACCCTCCGGATCAAAGCGTCAGAGATCTGAAGAGACATTAAAAAAAAAAAGTAGTGAAGATACATGGAGAAGATTCCACAGACAGCTGCTCTCCAACCAACGTGTCAAATTTGGATTTTAATTATATGTAATCATATAATGATAGAGGGGGAAATCTGCTTGTTTGAAGATTGAATTCATATTGAATTAGAGAGTGAGTCAGCGACATCACTCAGCTCAGATTGGTTTGACAATCACAGAAACACTGCACATAAACTGCACCAAAGAAGAAGAACACAGAAACATGAAGACACAACTGAAGGGGAAATGTGTCTGAACAAACCAGACAATAGAACATATAAAATGAGTCAAACATTAACACTCATTTAAGTAAGGTGGAGCTGAACTATTATGTCCAGGCAGTAGTGTCCTTCTAGGAACCAGAACATCAGAATAAACACATGCAATTTATATTTCACTCTGAAGAGAAAAACTTTGTATGAAGTTTCTAGATGTTGATTATTAGCTTTTATATATATATTATTAGCTTATAAAGCAAAACAGAAACTGTATTCTGGAAGTAAGAACTCATGACTTGCTTAATTAAGTTTAACATGTTTTGAAGGAACACATCAGAGACTTCTTTCACTCTCGACATACAGTACATCAGGCTGTGAAGCTTAGAAAAGAGTCTTACTGTAGAACATATGTATCTGACCTGTAGGAAACCACTGGGGTCGTTCTCCTTGATGACCTCCAGACAGTACTCCATCAGCCCGGTGGTCTGACGCAGCTTCACCGTGCAGTGGGAGATCTGATCCCGGACCACCTGCGATTAACAAAGGACGGAAAATCGTAAACTGACAGAGATAACAGACTGATTCAGCAAAAATAATTAGAGACACAGGAGAAAACAACGTGACACAGAGGCAGACAATGAACATGTGTGGAGGAAGGTTCCAGAATAACTGATTAAACAGGAGGAGGAAACACCGAGCATGAGATTAGAAGAGGTGTTTGTCAAAGTAATTGATGGATGACTTAAGGCTGAGGGGCGCTGCTGACAGATGTTACGTCTGATGTTACCAGGAGGAAAGTGATGATGGATTTTATTTTGTTCTCTCTCTCTCTCTCTCACACACACACACACACACACACACACACGAGGTGTGAACAATCGTCCGTTTTATTAGCGATGGTGGATGAGATGGCGTTGCTTTACATGGTCTCTCAGATCCTTCAGATAAGGCGTTTTAGTCTCTTTTTATTACTGAAATGTGTTTCATATATTTTTCAATCAAAAAACATATATGACATCATACTAAAACTGCAATAAATAATGAAATATATTCATCTTCTAGTTTCAATTCACTCAGTTTACTTACTGAGTGCGAAACCTGGGCCTGTTTAGTTGAACACAACAATGATATACTGGCAGGGATTGAAGAAACACAAAAGATCTTCAAGAGCTCTATATACTGGCAGGGATTGAAGAAACACACTTCAATTCACTCTCTATTTTTTAATTTTAGAGCATTTACTGCCACCTAGTGAAAGAGCAATTATTTGTTCTGCACGTCACTGTTGCACTGATGAAGAAATTATTCTGTAATGCAAAATTATTAATAAATAAATATTTGTTTTCAAAACAAATAAGTGAGATTGGGTCATTTTTCATGGCACACACACTGACGTTCTCTTGCAGAGCGTTAGCACAAAAGCTGGGAATCACAAGTGAACACAACATGGAGCCATCACTGGTGTCGTCTGTTCAGGCTGCTGGTGGAACCAGCTCCAACTGGTTGAAAATAAATGGGTCACTAGAGCTTCTCCAGAAATGTAATAAGGTCTTTAACCATGGACGTGATGTCAACCAATCCTCAACTAATACCCGTTCCTGTATGATGTCACTATCAATATGGGCCACAGACTCAAACTCAACCAACTCAACTCTACAACCACACTGCAGCCTGTAATAATAAAAAAAATCCTTCACTTTCATGTTTGATTGTCGTGACTTGGGAGATTCCCTACGATCCCTGACAGCACTGATGTCCTCAGAACGGTGGAGAACCCACCCCGACACGCACGCACACACAATTCAAAGACATCGGCGCTGGACCTAAGGTTGCTAGGTAACAGAAACTTGAGTGCTGCTGTGTGAATGGAGAGGAGAATCCTTTAGTACAGAGAGCATTAACATGCAGGAACTGTTGCTGTGATGCAAACATTGCCGACGTCTGTACATTTATTCATTTACTTAAACTCCTTGACATTGAAAGTCCATTCTGGCTGAGGTCAAAGACCGAGTGATTTAAGAAAAAGAGAAAAAAGGAGGGATATTTGATATTAACTTTTTGCCAATGTCTGATATGCCGTTATTGTCCGAACACTTACAGTAATAGATTATTAAAATGAACTGCAATGCTGCCATCTAGTGACTAGAGGCTTGTTTATTGATCCTGCGAAGAGTGTGAAAGGAGGAGTTTTTGGAGAAGCTGGGTTGAGAGCAATAAAGGAGTTTAGAACGAGTTACTGCAATTGTGATTCAAGTTCTTCAGAGCACTGAGGCATCTGATTGGTCTGTCACCAGGGCATTGCACATTTTTTGGAGCAGTCATCATTTCGCAGAACCCAGGCATTGCGTTATTGGGTTTTCAACATCGAAAAAAAAAACCGATAACGATTCTTACAGATATTACAAATCGGATTGTCCGAATTGGGTTTTCAACATCGAAAAAAAAAAAACGATAACGATAACGTCGCCCCCTAATGGCTATTTGCTCTCTCCTTTTAATACTTATATACTAATTGAAAACTCAACTGTTTCCACGATTGGGTTAGTAGAAGGTCAATGTGGCAATGTCTAAGCTTTACGATACAATACTGTTTGTTTCAGGTGCTAGCACAAAATCAGAGACAAAAAACTCTCCGAAAACGTACAGATTTTCACCCAATTATCTAGTCTAGCCTGAAGCCACATCCCACCGAACTAGACCAAGTGTTTCTAAGACAACTAAGAACACATTATGTTTTATTAAAGCCTCTCACAGAAGCGGCATCTTCAGCTTTTCAAAGTCTAAAAACTAGTTTACCACTGGTCGGATGCCTTTAAGGAACGATACAGATTTTCAAACATGAGCTCTTATCTGCCGTGAACAGCAGGACGGTGGGATTTAAGGCAAAGTCTGCACATTAGTCCATCAAGTTTGGGCTGCATTCACAGGTTTTTGACCCCATATTTTCCCTCTGCCAACACATCAGAGGGTTTCCATGCTGCTGAGATGACAGGCTGCAGGGATGATTGAATTCCTGCAGTAAGATTCAGTCCATCTTTGAATTAGCAGCGTGAACAGAAATGAACCAGACAAACCAAAGAGGCAGCCTCAGAGTGAATCACCTGTGTCTATCCACTCTGTTGGAGGAGTAAATATCTGGACGTATGTCAGATTTTATAGCTAAATTGATATTAAAAAAGGCCGGTCTCTGTTAACATCAATAAGGACGCTGCCTCCTCTAACCTCCACTCCTCTCTCACTCTCTGATGTTTTGGTCTAAATCTCTCTGGCTAAAGGCCAAACTGTCACTGCTGTCTCACATCCTCCCTGCTGCAGTGCACTGGCGGGCCTCCAGGGCGACTTGTCACTGCCTGTTAACAATTATGTTCACTACCTGTCCTCTGGAATTACAATCTTTTCATAAACAGATTTCAACCTGGAAGATTCAGACTACGAGGTGCTGAGAAACGTCGGCTTGATTCACGTCAACACGGCTGGAAATTCTGAGAAGTCTGTTTCTATACAGATGATGTTGCTTTTTTTTTTGCCTAATCATCCTAGACACACACAAGTTGATAATAAAAGTGGTATATATGTAAATACATACACACACTAGACACACACAAGTTGATAATAAAAGCCGTATATATGTACATACATACACACACATATGTAGATGTGTATGTATATATAAATAGGCTATACATACACAAGTATAGTGAACGATATATACTGTATATATATGTATATATATATATATACATACATATATAGTGTGTACATGTACATGTATATATGTATATACATACATGTATACATTTATATATACATTTGTACTGTATATACATGTAGATAATAGAACAGTCAAATGATTAAAATTCTAAAATCTGATAGAAAATGATAGAATAAAAACCAGCTCTGCTGTTGCTAGGGCAACGTAGGCTCTGGATGAAACACGACAGGTCCATGTAATCAAACAAATCTCTAGATTTGGTGATACATCGAAGAGTTTCACAAAAACAATTTGTTAAAAGATGGACATTTAATCTACTGTCAACACAAAAACTCTATTTAAAGTAGTTAGGAAAAAATCCACGTGGACATGAATGTTGCAGCAGCACTGACTTCTAAATCTGAAAGAACGGCTTACATGTTACTTCACATTGCATCTGCTGCACATACTGCTGTTGTTGTTGTGATTCTGCAGAACATTCAGCATTGATATGAAATTAAAGAAAACCTCCACTCTTCTGTGTGTTGTGATTATGAGGCCACTGCAGCTCTGCTGACCTGACAAACACTGTTATACATCAGTCCAGTCTGTTACACAGCCCAGACAGGAGTCTACATGTGTACCTATTAACACAGGTATAATAGAGAGGTGGCTGAAGATGATTAATGGCTTTCATAAACACACAGGCACATGGGATGTCAGAATATTAGAGAGGAGAAGTGGTTAGCAAGAGAAAGAGATCTTAAAGCTCCCGAAGGAGCTGAGGAAAAAGGAGGTTAAGGACAGTCAGGAGGAAAGTGAGAGGAGGTGATGTTGTAGGGACTAATAAATACAACGACGCCAGGCAGAGGAAACAAATAAAATGGTTTTGAAACGATGTTCATGCTGAGAAGAAGCAGCAGTGACGGTGAGAGGACGTGACAACTGACACTGACGTAGCTGTCGCTGAGAATCCAAATGCTGCCCACACTGTTTTAATGCATTTACACATTCTCATCAATGAAGAGTCAATGGAAAAGGATGGCATTATCAATCGTGTTTGCCACATTTGCCTCCGCACAGGTTATTAAAGGGCAACAGCTAACTACATAATTAAGTAGAATGAATGGATGAATAAGTCCTGAATCCAATGGCAGCCATGATGTTTTATAGTTTTATATCCCTGACTGTTACACTACTGCAGGCCCCACTGCAGCCATAAAACCTCTGAATCAGTCCATTAACAGTTTGAATTAATTCATAAAGAACAAACATTCACGTTCCAACGTACGGTAGGAGTGTCTGTGAAGACTTCAGGGACGGACGCTAAATGGACAGATTGTTAGACACTGTAAACTGTAAGCTTATCTTATACAGAAAATACTGATACAGAGAATACTGATATATACATATATATATAACACACATATATATGTATGTATTGAATGGAATAAGAAAGAATGTTCTTTTTTACAGAACACACAGGCTTCAAGCACTGACGACAACTTCCTTAGCCTGCAAGCTAACATGCTCTCACTGGATACAAGGAACAAATATAGAGTGACCAAGGTTAGGAACTTGGAGGCTACAGGTTCTGGTTAAACAACCTGGGACTGGTTGGGGGCATCAGAGAGTCCTTTGGGTTTAATTCTAAATTTCACGACTCTCCAGTCCAAAATTAAAGTGCACCACATCAGATCCCTGAGGGACGCCCAGGTAGTGTGTGTGTGTTCTTGGTTTTCAAAATATAAAGTATCTGTCCTTACTATATGGCTAAAATTGTAAACGTTGAGGACACGTTTTTGTATCAAATGGAAACAGATCCAGACTGACTCAGCTCCTTAATTCACTGTGATTATCCCAGAGAAAAGGCCGTAGATCAGATCAGAGCCCAGTCTGTGAGCCGACAGACAAACACACAGTAAAGAGAACTGACAGCACAGGCCTCAGGACTGATCAAATTTAATGAGTGGTCCATGTTACATTAGAGGATTGCCCTGATTCATGGGGGTAAATCTCATTACTTCTCAGTCTGTATGTCTTGTCAAAGGTGCATTTGTGCTTGGAAACAGACAAGAGCAGCCACTTTAAGGAGATGTTAGAGGAACCGTGACCTCAGACTCTGCACTCTGATCCTCACTGAAGGCCTTTTCAGGAGGTTTCAGCTGCCAGTTAGAAGATCGTGTTCTCTACGTTCCAAACTTTCAGCCTATAAAGAAGAAAATTACCGTGATGGATTTTCCTTGAAACAAGTTTTAAGGCTGTGTGAGTGGATTTTTGTATCTTTGTGTCAGAAAATGGGACAAATGGCTGCCTGGAAGGTCGGAAAACAGACGGAAAAACAAGGGGAAAAAAGGTTTACATTTCCTTCCAGTATGAGATTAGGTTTGTGAGGGACAAAAACAATATCCAGTAAATCCACTAAACCACAAAGATAAATGCTGTTCAACTTTAGATAAGCCCAGATCAGGACGGGACAGATGTTTTCTTTAAATGGTGGAGTCTTTAGATTCAAAATGAAGACATTAGTCTTTGAATTAGAAGAGATGTTTCTCCTTCTAATGTATAAAATTTAACCAAGCTGGTTTATTGGTCTGATCCATGGTCCATTCCAGTCCAAAAACCTGCTGGATGTGGTTACTGTTCACTCAGAGTGTGAATGATCGTTGACAATTTTATGTGACCCTGCGGTGGACTGGCCAACTGTCCAGGGTTTGACGACTGCCTCATGACTGCTGGGATTCGTCTAAAATAGAAAGACTGAGTTCTAGTGTCGACAATATGGTTTGGGAATTTTTCTTAGGCATTAATTAATACTTAATTAATAAAAAACAATAGTGATCCTGTTCTTAAGTCTACATTATAGTTTTATTATCAATCCCAGTTGAGATGAAATTACTAGCAGCCCCTTCAGGGCTGGGGTGTAAATGCAGAACACATTCTGTTGTGTGAGTTCATGGACGTTTCTTCTTCCCCTAAAAGTTCACATTAAGATTAACAGAAACCATCATGTGATCTAAACTCACGGCACACTGTGTTTGGTGCTAACAGAATTCTCCAATCAGCATCTGTTGATGCACAGAGAGAGAGTCAACGTTTTCCTGTTGTCTTCTTCTGGACTTTTTAGCAGTTGCCGCCTATAACAGTATTTCCATGTAACGTGTTGTTGAACTTCTGTAGATCTGGGTTTGACCCTCTCATGGTCCTTTCAAAAACAACACGTCGAGTTCCATTTATGCGACCGAAGCTGCGTGAAGAGGCTTTTGTAACACTGTGACAAAACATCAGACAAAAAAACCTCTCTGCCACTGCTGCTGCGTCTCTGCACAAAACAAACAGGCCCGTCTGATGTGCAGACCAAAAAATAAGTGAGTCATGTTATGAAGGACTACTTCCCGCCTCCACAGGTTTCCACAAGCTCGATGTGTCACCATGGCAACCGGCAGAGCAGCCGGAAGCCTCGTACCTACAGGAAGAGCAGCTACAGAAAATAATCTTCACAGTTCCATATTCTAGGCTGTACGTGACAATGGTGCATACTGTAGACCAACAGTTGGAGCAAGTGGGCTGCATGGACACAGCCAGTGGGCCACATGGACACAGACAGTGGCAGTGTGGCCCATAGAACCAAATTGAACAATCTTATATAGGATGCAGCTTTCCAAACACCTGAAAGACGTTTACAGAATAGAAATAGTCTAATACAGCAGCAGTGGCTGTTATCCACTAGGGGGCGACTCTACAGGTCACAGCAAGAGTTTTCTGCAAATATTTGAAAAAAAAAAGTATTTTAGTAAATAGTCTTATATACTTCTTGTATTATATTGTTCTTCTCTAGTCTGATGACTCAAAGCAGGCTCATATTTAGGTCTAGAGTTGACCCAACAACGCAATGAAATACCCAGAATGCACCTCATTCACTTCTTCATTTTTCTCATGCTGAAATGCACGGCTGGCATTTTGCTAAACGCAACAATTAGCTGGAAAACTGCAAATGTTAGCAACATCTGTAGAGACAAAAGCTGAGAGAATGAATTCATCTTCTACAGCTACATGTTTCTGAGGGTCAGGGGGTGGAGCCAAGGTCAAGGTCATCAAGCATCACGAGACCGACCACCCGTTGTCCAGCCACTGTTTACCCACGTGGCCTCAGAAACACAGTAGATTCATGTCCGTTTAATTAGAGCAGTGTGACGACCTCCTGTTAATGAAGCCCTGTCAGAGGGGATCCAATTACTGAAGATGAACTTCAGTTCTACCCCTCTGACCTCCTTACACTGTGACTGGTGCTGTGTGTACCTGGAGGGAGCGACGACCTCCCCCAGGAGTCCATGATTTAAACATACAAGATGAATTAAATATCAAAGACAGGAAACACTGTGGAAACTGTCACTGACAATTCAGTGAGTGACACCATGGAACCTCCAATCTGTCAGAGCTGTGTTAAAATGTCTCCTCCTAGGAGGCGCTAATGTGACTCTGCTCCTCATTAACAGCAGTTCTCCTGAAAATGAAAGAGACTTTGAATCTGCACAGAGGGAATAAAAGTCACATGTTTACGTTCAGTCGAAGATGAAAAACAGGAATCAGAAACCACGGGTTTTAATTATGATCCTATTTATCAAGTAGCTCAAACCACTTTTATATGCAGACACGTTAATATACATACACTGTACAAATATATCAGTTGTAGTACACTAATATACATACACTGTACAAATATATCGGTTTAAAAAAAGGATTGAGTATAGAGTGATCCCTCTCCTAACGGGGAAGTTGCGTTCCAACGGGGAAAAAAATGTATGATGCATGAGCCAATCAGCGTGTTGAACAGATGCGCATGCTCAATTAGCCAATAGTACATCAAATATGCGTTGTATTAGCCAATAGTATGCTGTGTATGATCTCATCTAGGTAAACAGCTACCAGCGATCGTTCGCAAATGCACTTATCTCTATTTCAAAACAAGAATCCACATTTTTAAAGCCAAAACCTTTGTATTTATATATTTTTCTTTTTGTGATCGATCCCCCTTCAACGTACGGTGAATGTGTGGACACAGGTGTGTAGGTGTGTTTGTATTGTCTGTATTTGTGTGTCGATGGTTGCGGCCCATAAACGTAGCCATGCACACGCCGTATTCCTGAAACCACCTACACGTGTAAACCCCTCATTCTACAGATCGTCCAAGCGTGAAATTGGATGCTGCCTGACACAAATGTATCTGTGCCTGCGCCTCATCCTCAGCCGTTAACCCTCCATCACTCAGTCATGTCCCTCTGTCAACGTGCTGCTCTCGGTGTACACAAATATTTAACCATTGACATCTTAAAAAATGTAAATTGAACCTGAAAAGCTGATGAAAACAGATGAAATGTCCAACCTTGAGCTTGTGCTCGTGCTCCTTGTTGACTTGTGTTAGCAGCTGGGTCTTACGCCGGTTCAGGGCGTCGATGAGGGCGTCGCACTGAGCCACCAGGCAGGCCTCGAACTCTACGCCGTTCTCCTGTGGAGGAGACACACACAGCTGCTGGGAAATCGGAAACTTTGGTTTTTTTAAAAAAAAAAAAAAAAGAAGTGATGAATTCAAAGTGATTAGATCATTAGAAGTAATGAATGTGGATTTGAATGATTCATTAACGTTGTTAAACAGAGAGACTGTAAGAAAAACACATCTCTGAGGTGATTCATTCATCAGTCGAAGAGGAGGAGGTGAGATTAGCATCAGAATGTTCCAGGGTCTTTACGCCTCCTACTGCTCCTTTTCACACATCCCAGGCTCTCGTCTCCTCCTCATTTGCACCTCCTTTTCCCCAGTTACTTCTCCTTATCCTTTGCTAACCCTGATTTACCCTCGATGTGTGAGGATCCACTGATGAAGACATTCAATCCCAGCTCCAGTTTTTGTCTCTTTGTTAAAATGCTTCAACTTCAACTGAACAGAAGTAAAAAAACCTTTTCAATGAGGAAAACCGTCACTTGACAGAGGACCTCATTTATGATGTTTTACATTTTCACCCATACTGCCACCTACTGTACTAGAGTGTGTAGTCTCATGGTATGACCACTGACTTTTTGAGATCTACTCCTTTCATCTAGAATTGTTACACATTTGTATCGATTTTTAACCGATTCACGATCATCGTTACAGCCCTACTGATGATTGGCTTAAAAACAGGTGAAAGTCAAGGCCGGTGGACACTTTAATCGATTACAGAGAAAATTCTTCTTTGTGTGTGTGTATGTGTGTGTGTGTGTGTCAGTCTTCATACCTGGATGTGCTGCACCATGTTCCTCAGCTGGACCAGGAACTCCTTGGCCTCGGTGGCTCGGTCTGAGAGTCCGTTAAGAGCCTGCGATAACTGTCCCTGCGGAGAGAACAGATTTAGAGAAATTATTTTAGCAAACTTTTTAGCATTTATATGTTTTTTTTTCCAATGTAATTATTTCAGGCTAGTATGTAGTACACTGTTTAAAATTGTTGTCCTGTGTTTAAATTTAGCTTTTTGCAAAAAATATCACAACATTCTACAGACATAAGGGGACGAGGAGGAAACGGACTCCATAAAAATCCTGGGTACCTTAACCCTTTGACTTTAGACAAGTTTGTGCTGACTTTTCCTTTAAAGTGTTGATATCTTCATCACCTAAAGATAATCGTTTCTGCTTTAGGGTTAGAGCTACGGTTCATTGAACTTAGAAAATGTCAGATTGGAAATCTAAATCACCCAGTCATGCTGCTAGTGTTGATAGTTGCTCAAAGAAAAAAGAAAAGAAAAAAAGAATTGTGTGTGTTCACAATTTGTCCTCATTAAGAGCCTCTGTAAAAGACGTTAAAGGGTCAGGTCAAATATTCAGAAAGAGTTTCAGATGAACTTTGAAAATCACAGACATAGAAGTTGAAGAAAACAAAGCTGCTTTACAGCTGCTGAGAAGCTGACATTTAAAGACAACACACAGATTCTGTCAAATTCTCACACTCAAACTGACATTTCTGTGTGAAAACCATGATTAATGTCCAATAAATCGTAGACGGTTGCCTGGCTCTGTTGCCGCACTGAGGGGAAGTTGCTGCTGTTTGGACAGAGAGGAGAAAACAAACTGAGTTTCTTTTCTCTTTTTTCATTGTGTGGAGGGAGGGCTGTGTGAACAAGAGGGAGACAGAGTGAGAGGCCACGCCACGGCCGGCCTGACACTGTGGGAATGTCATGTGGATGAGTGAACAACCGTCAACTTGGGAAGTGGATTGTCTTTTGGGAGGAAAATGAGGGTACCGGGTCATTATGCGCCCCAGAAAGAGGAGTAAGGGGTCGCTTCAACTTCAACTCCGGACGACAGAGGAGAAACCGGCAACTTGTTAAAAACAACTCGTCATCCACAGAGTCAGGATCCTGGAATCTGATGATGGTCAAATGGAAAACAGTGAGTGTAGGGTCTGTCAGATGACCTTTGGCCTCTGAGCTTGGGAAACTATGACAGCTGTCCCTAACGAGGGTCAGTCTGGGCTGGTAACAGCTGAGCAAAGACTCCAGTATAAACTGTGGACTGGACTGGGATGTAAAAGAACTTCCTCTCTGTCAACTTGGGAATCGTGTTTCCACGTCAGAGACGGGAAAGGCATTTTTGGAATCTCATTTAAATTTGACACTCATTTTTCTTAACCTATAATTTTCATGGAGTTTTATGTAAAATTAATAAATAATAATAATAAATAAATAAAATAAACTAAAATAATATCAGAAAAAACAACTCCCTGTTTAGTTAATATTGCTAAAGAAACAGAAAGTGAGAATTTGTGTGCGTTTTGTTGCTGACTCCCCTTTTTTTATTAGAAGAAATTGAGATCCATGTTCAGTAAGAGAAGCTGAATACATTTTCTTTGCAGTAAAGTAGTTCATAAATGACCGTTTTCACCAATCACATGAAACAGTGGTTCATTTCCATCAATAATAAACAGACTCAGTACTGGTGGTTATTGAGCGTTAGCTCGTTTGCGCTGCTACGTTGTCTTTTCCACTTCTTGGCCTCAGGTTTTTGCCAAATCCGTCTGTCAGAATGATTGACAGTGTTGTCATCAATCACCAGCACAGAGGTTTTTACAGTTGACATGTGACATTCCTGTGTTTTTCACATCTCTGGTACAAACAACAGCACTTTCCAAACCTCCTCGTTCGGTCGGCCTGTCCTTCAGTGACAGAGCAGATACAAATGAAAATCTCTCCATCGTCTGGAGGCGTATTTTCCTACTCTCTGTTCGGGAGCCTGCGGTACTTCATTGTCAAATCCAGGTCAAACGTGCCTCGAAAGAAAAAAAGGGCCGTTTGGTTTCTGAACAGCTCAAGGCTTCGTCCTGATAAAGACAGATTTGAGCAACAGATGGGTCGGACGGAACGACAGGAGGGAGAGCAGAGATTTACAGCGTGGTAAAAGGAGACGGAGGACACTTGGACGGAGTTTAATTAATTTTGTTCGCTTCTGTTGCTAAGGGGATTCGACAACATAGGGATTTGACAACTGTTTTGTTTAAAGGCAACTTTCATCATGCAACATTTTAGAAAGGGATCATTTACAGTGGTGTGAGACGAGTATACAGTCTACATCAGTATCAACCTACACACACAGACAGGTATTTATTACACCTGCACTCCCAGCTGTGGCTCCTCCCATTCATCTGATTTGACTTTCATGTGAACGTGAGTGACAGAAATAAACTGAGGCAAAGGTTCACTGAACAGTTTTGCTTCAAAACTGTTCAGTGAACCTTTTCTAAAACCCACCATCAGTACAATTCCCCCACTATGTCACAGTTCCAGAGAACGTGAAAATTAAAACTAATTTGCCTTTCTGCACCCGCACCGCAATAGCTCCACGCTCCCTAAGGAGGGCCCGCCCCCCACTTTGGTAACCACTGTCCTAAGGGGAAAAACACATACACATGGGAAAAGTGCAGAAACTCAGATTTAGCCTCTGGAGTTTCACATGTTACTTCAGGAGTGAGGATTTAGTTTAAAACTAAAAACCCATCTACGTACGGATCAACTGTCTACTTCCTCAGTCTTCACTCCCCACAACAACATCACCAAAGCAGTTAAATGTTCATTATTTTCCTGAATGATTGATGAAAACTATTAAAGTTACAGTAGTTTTCCATGCATGATATTTACATCTCATCATAAATGAATTTGCATTTTCCATTTCGAGGCCTTGGGAACAGCACTGACTGTCAATACATGATTCATACGTTTGAATATTCACAGAAACACTGCATCTTCAGTGTGTGTGTGTTCATTTTCTCACAGGAAACTGCTGTGTGTGATCCCCCATATCCACAAACCACAGAGGTCCACAGAGAACATTAATGGTTCCAGCTCCAGTGGATTTGTGAATTTCCGGTCAACTGCTGCTTCATTTGATACGTTTGTGTCACGGAGTTAATGCTAACAAAGTAGTCGAACACTTAAGGATGAGCTGGAGGAAGATGACCCTCTGTGGCGACCCCTGAAGAGAACAGCCAAACATTGGTTTTCTGCTGAAAACAACCGCACTGCAAGCAAACCCTTTGGATCTCGTCGACATGTGTTAGATTCCATGTCCTGAATCTTCTGCTCCTCCTTCAATGACTTCAGTTTTGCACCTCAAAGAACAATCACATCTTCTTATGAGGCCACTCGAAATGAATCCACGGTGCACATCCGGGAGGATGTGGAGGAGGATGCTGGGAAGCTCCTGCCGGTGGGATTTGTTTACATGGAAATGGTTCTCGCGATGAACCTTCTATCTGCAGCAGTAATCAGCCCAGTAATTAAGTCAAGACGAAGCATGTGCGGTCAATGAATAATTCACTGGGAGATCTGAGAGCTACAGCAGTGCACTGTGATTCTCTAACATTCAAATCAGTCACAGCTATTTTGAATTAGAGCGCCCCCTTTAGGAATGGAGAAATACAAAGATGGAGCCTTAAAGCTGTTGCTAGGTAAAATACTCTCTCAACCTCTCCTCAGACTTCTGCAGAAGATTTTTGGTGTTGACGCTAACTAACTCTTGATGAACCTCCCCTGACCCTGAATCATCAGAAGTTGCCGTGGTAACTGGACACATTCTAGCCTGACACCTTCTGACGCTGCCACGTGTTGAACCAGATCATTCCTGAACTTCTACTTCGACTGTTTCCCGTGTTGAACCAGATCATTCCTGAACTTCTTCTACTTCGACTGTTTCCCATCTTCGTGGGACGTCTTTGAATTCTGCCACATAAGTAAGTCAGGTTGTTGTTGGACTTTTTCAGAGGTGTAGAAAGTTATTTAACATTGTGTGTTAATTTGTTCAATGAACCAGAAATAGGGCTCTGCTGTTGTTAAAGCTCTGCTCACTTTCTGAGCTTCGGGCTGCAGAAACTGTTGTTAAAGCTCTGCTCACTTTCTGCGCTTCGGGCTGCAGACATTTTCGTAATTTTTTTTAAATTTTTTTTTAATCATTTTATTTATATGTTGTTAAAAAGTGGCGTTTTGGCCCAGAGGCAATGTCTCTGTCACTGGTGTGGAACCCCAGGGTTCACCTCCTGGGCAGGTTCAAATCCCAGTCAGGGCGGTTGGTACCTTCCAGTGGACTCACCACCTGCAGGAAGGTTCAGGGGGGGTTGGTACGGTGCAGTGTGATATTTATATAACACTGACTTCCATTACATATTTACTGAAGCTTCTGTGATGATAACTGGCATCAGTTTTTATTGTTACTGAGCCAATGGTTAATAATAGCTATAAATGATTATCGTACTATACCTTATTCTGACTACTGTACTTCTACCAAACTCTCCTTCCTTCCCGCTGCACAGACGGCACTAACTTCCTGACTGTAACCTACTTTTTAAAAACTGTGTTACCTCTCTGTGACTTTATTAAGGAGCTGCAGGCCTAAATGTTTCCTCTTTAAAGCAGTCTCTTTACGCTCATTTAGCGGTGTGTGTTAGGCAATGTTATTCGGTTACACTCTCTCGACAGATGTGAGGTCGAACAACGGTGAATGAAAACAACAAACACATGGAGAAAAAAACACTTTCTAGATAAAAGACATTCAAATGAATGTCTGTGTAAACCCTGGACTGCTGCAGACCTCACTGATGGTTTATTTTTAATTATTAAAGAGGTGATGACTATACACTGTATTCACTGTTGGAAAGTTCGGTCATGTTAGAAATTAAGCTCTGGCATCGACAAACAAATCCAGACTGGGACTCTTCATCACTTCTGACAAGAGTCCACAAAGCCCTGTCCCTTATCCACTGAACCTCAGCGCTGCATTATTCATAACTTCTCATCTGCCGTCGTCAATAATGCAGCAGCAGTTCTTAACTATCCACACACAGAGATGG